ACAACTGGGTTTCTCCTTCCGCTCAGCATTGTCTGCATCCCTGCACCTTCTGCTCTGCCTTCCTTTGCTAGCAGATGTTGCTTGGGGACAGGAAATGGGGGAGCGGAGGTAGCACAGTGATAAAGGCCCAGGAAACCAGAGAGGGCGGGCTGTGTGCTTCACACAAGAAAGGAACAAGCCTGATGTGGGCCACACCCTCATCAGAACACAATCTTGATTAAGCGAACTCTGCTGCAAGTCCTTTTCGTTGGCACCTACAGAAAAGGAATAGCAAACACCTCCAAACACATTACTTGGCCCCATTTTAAAAAGTTTGTAGTTCCTTTACAGAAAGCAGACTGCCACCTTGCTCACCCTCGGGGGCTGGTGGGGGGGGCCACCCCCCACACAGACAGTCCTCCAGGCAACCAGAGGTAGCAAAGCCCAATGCCCCCATCTTGGCATGTTTTCCCCCTCATTTAAGCCTCTGCTGTAGTGAATCGGTATATACTGCACCATGTCTCAGCTCTGTGCCAGGTGGCACCGTCCCTAGAGAACCTGGTCTGCGCTCTTGCCTAATGTCATCCCGAAGTGGGGCCAGCGGATCTGTCATCAGGAGTTCACAGCCAGATGCTCCAATGGCAGAGGCCCTACTGAGAATGGAAAGCCCATTCTGAAAGGTCTGCCATGCTCCTGTTTTGTGCAGCTACTCCCTTGTACAGGGCTCTTCCAAAAGTTCACGGGAAAATGAAGACATAAGGGCCTCCCCAGTGGTTGTGTAACGCCCCCTTCTGTGTTCCCATGGGAAACGCAGGGTGCTTATCCTTCATTGCTTTCCATCCCGTTTGCTAGTGTTAAAGGACGTCCTGGTGAGGATCGCCGAGCAGCCTGGCGAGTTGGAGCGCCACGCCAACCATGTGTACGACTCCATCTTGGCCTCCCTGGACATGCTAGCTGGCTGCACCCTCATCCCCGACTGTAAGCCGACAGCAAAAGAGCGCCAATGGGAAAGGGTTTAAGCAGGTAAGAGGAAGCCTGCTTGCTCCCAGCCCAGGGCTTGTTCCTGCCCTACCTACCTGGGAGAAGCCACCCTGTGGTTCTGACTGAGTGGCTTGCTACTGCTGCCAGGAGCAACCACCACTGCTCCCTGCCATCCAGAGGCAGTAAAAGCACGACTTAGCTTTATTTTTGTAGACATGGTGCATGTTGGGCTGTCCCGCAGGCTCTTCTCACACATTCTTTGATAGCCCACCTGATGGCACAGACGGCACTGGAAATGGCTGATGATTCTACCTGCTTGCCCTTCCCATAGGTTTCGCGAGACTTTCCCATGCCCCATCCTTTAGAATGGGCCAGGGGAACCAAAGGGGAGGCATGGCTTAGACACTTAGTACTGGCTGTTTTTTCTTTGACTATCATGGTGTGGGCAAAGTCAGAGAGGAATGGCAGGAGAGGAACTGAAGGGTGGGTACTTACATGGGTATGTGATTCCACCTTCGATCTTAAGACTAAAGACCAACCCAGATGCTAATTTGTCTTTATTTGCCACCCATGCCCTGCCAAATATTCATAGAAGATTTGGTAGAGGAGACTTCACCCTAGACAGAAGAAGGTGGAAGTGTTGAAAGGGTAAGATCTAGTAGGCATGTTAAGAGCTGAGCCACTGTACTTGAGCAGCATTCATCTTTGTTCTACGGAGAGCACGCTGTGGCTTCTGCCTGTAACAGGCTTCTTTCTCTTTCAGGCACCTTCCCCGCCACTGAGTTGTAATTTGTCAGCCAAAACCTGACTGATGGGGAAATGCACTTTCACGAAGCCCTTCCTCGCAAGAGCTATTTCAAGCTTCCAACGTTAAGACGCTTTTCTCTTCCATGAAGTAAGGACTATTGAGTTCTGGTTTTTATTTAAAACTAAGGTTTTTCTTTGGTGCTTCTCCCCCAAAGAGCATGTGTGGCTTTCTCCAGGCTGGGCCATTATAAGGCTTACCTTCCTCCCCTCTTCTCCAGACAGAGCCTTGAGCGGTTCCACCTGCCTGCTGAGGTGACTCATGGCTCAGAGGGGGAAGAAGTGGCCTTGCTCAGTAGTCTTACACAGGAGGGTTCAAGAGACTGAAAAACTAGGTAGTGGTTGGCCACACGGGCTTCGATTTTTTTGTAAAAAACAAAGCTAGGTTATTTTTAAATCCCTCTTAAGATTTAGGATAAACTTCAACCCTTATTCTGCAAATTGCAGGGAGGGATCGGGGAGGCAGGGAGATAGGTGAATAACCCCTAAAAATTCTGAAGTATTACGGTGACACCTCTTGTCATAGGTCAAAGCTTAAGGCTCCGTCTTCACAGCATTTGAAAAGGACAGGAGTGCCAGGGCTATGGCGGGACTGCTGAGAAGGTTACTTCTGGGAGGTTTTATCCCTCCACGCCTATCTCCACCCCACAGGGTGACAACTGGTGGGGGAAGGGATGGGATCACTTGGTCTGGTTAGTCCAGGGAAAGACGGAATTCTGTCTTGCTAGGGAGTTGGGCAGTTAGGTACCACGAGTGGGTGGGGATATGGATTAACCATTTAAACCACCAATACTATGACTTTTTAGAGCAAAATGATGAGTTAACTGCAGATTCTACACAAACAAAAGCACTTTCCCCTAAAAATTTCAATTTTGGCCATGAATGAACAAATAAGGAAAAACCACATTTTTCCACTTATATTCTTAGTTTAGATCTAGTATAAGGCTAAGACTCAAGGTCTGTCCCCCCCTAAAAAAAAAAAAAAGTCAAAGCCAAAATGGCATTAAAGTGAAGAAGCAATTCCTACTCATATGGGGAAAGTTTGAGAGTTCGCAGCCCCCCTCGCTAAAGCCTACAAAATCGTGACACTTCACAAAGTCGGTGCAAAACAATTGAGAAATAATGCAATTTTCCCAAGTGGTTTTAGACACCCTTCCCAGAGGCTGGGCAAAGCTCTGGTGGTGTGATGCTGAGACTCCGAGTGTAGTTCCCAGGGAAGAGCTTGGTGAAGCTGCTCTCACAGCCCAGTGCTTGGCCTCTTTTAACAGGTGTTCTGCAACACCAACACACAACTAATTCTACTCTTCGCTCTTTATCTTAAAAGCAACGATGTTCATCAAGAATGGGTACTAATGTTGGTCTTTCGAATTAATGCAAACTTTGAAAAAGCACAAATGAGGGTGCAATTTATAAGTTTGGGGAGCCACAAAATTTTATCACATCTACGTCCATATTTAAAGTTCTATTGTCAAGTGCTATTTTCTGTTTCAAAAGTTTTATATTTCAGTCACTGGAAAATGAGCCATTAAATTCTAGTACTTAAAAATCAGCGATAAAGGGAAACTACGTAAAATTTAATAGGACAGAGTATTTCAAGTACCTGCTGCGTCTGCTGTGGAGCTGTAGTTTATTTACCATTATGCTAAATTATCTGTGCTGCCACTTCCAGGCTAACCTTCAGTTTCATACACAGCAGGACTTAAAAACATTGCTTACGTAAAATATTCTTCAAAAACCCAAGATGGGTTAAAAAGGCAGGCATGTCCACTAATGGCCTGTTTTAAAAATGGATACAGTGAGCAAAATGCCTTGCCGTCCTTGGCAGTTAGACCCGGTTATTTACTATAGAAAGACAGGTACAGAAAGGAGTCCCGTGGCTGGTGTATAAATTCACGAACGCAGACTACAGTTTTCTGTTTTCACACAAATTAGTTACAGTCAACTTCAACTGATAGAAAAGAGGTCACTCCAAAATAATTCTGACAAAGTGCGGCCTTAAAGACTATCACAGATATTTTTGTTCCTCCCCTTGAAATAAGGTGTGACTAAAGAGTGCCAATTTGGGTCTGGCTGTGAATGCGCTTCACCACAGCTCAAAGATGTTAAGACCTCCCCTTGAATGCACATGCTGCAATGGTTTCTGCCTCAACGCTGCATGGTGATTATTTCCACGAGCAGCCATGCAAGGCAGCTAGACAACTGTGGCTTTACTTCAGAAGTAGGTGATATAACACCAAGTTTATCCCCAGGAATAAAATTTTAGTAGTTACTTAAAATTAATTTGGTTTAGGAAGTGGCTGGGCTGGAGACTCAGATCTTTGTTGCAGCTCCAGGCCTGAGCTCATCTGCAAACGGAAGTCTGTGAGGCACAAAGAGAAGAGCTGGCTGTGGGCTCAAGGGAACGCGGACTTCCTGCTCTGAACAGGATAGCCCTCTAGGGTGTCCACAGGGCGAGGTCTCTAACTTAGTCTTTTTTAAAGTGAACAGATTAAAACCCACAGTAGTTTGGGAGTTTACATTAATAGGATTATCACAGTAGAAACAAGCATGCTCAAACACCCTGTGGCCAGCCCCCATCTTGAATGCCATGGGGGAAAGAGCAGGTTTTTCAAAATGTATAAATAAGCTTACCTCTTACATGTTTTTTTGCTAACTCACCGAGCTGCTGGTGTAAACTAGTTGCTGTATAAAACTGCAGTGCATGACATCCCACCTTAACATTTGTGTCTGTAAGCTTGTTCAGAAAATTGTTCACGGATTTTACCCCTGTGTATTACTTAAGGTAAATCTAAAAACAGACAAAACAAAACCCAAACTTTGAAACATTAAAGGTTTTTTCCCAAATGATTGTCAGGAATTTGTCAGTTGCCTTATGTGAGGATGAATAGATCCAACAAGCACGTCTATAATACAAAGTAAACTATGATTTTATTGTGAAACTCTCAGATGGAAAATTAAATGGAATATTCTGTCCATTTCATTTTACAATAATCTTACCACTTATTTTTGTACCATGTATTTCAATTGCCTGTTCAGTGAAAAATAAACCTCTCGTTTTTGGCTTGTTTTTTAGCTAAAATTTTATCGTTAATGAAAGAGCCTCACCATAAAATGTGTTGTCAACAGCCACGTCCCAAAGCTTTGGCGTGAAGAATCTTTTGTCTGCTTCTTCTACCCCAAGGGAAGAAGACTGGTGCCCGTGTAGGTAAACGGCGGGTTTCCACAATAAAACAGCCCCTAGGGTCTTTAAGGTCTTAATGGACAACAGTTCCAATGTGCAAAGTACCACCCAGATAAACACATCTCTTTCCAGGTTTCCATCCTGACTGGAAGCATGACTTCTAAAATTAGGACAAACAGTGAATTTCCAAGCTTTCTACGTAAGCGTTTTAACTTCCCCCCATCATCCACTATTTAATCCAGTATTGGATGACATCTGACCATGGCCTGGAAGAACATCATTCACCTGTGTGTGAGTCTGATTTTTTTTTCTTTCACTAGTTCGGATAGGGGTGTTTGTTCCTGCACTACCACCACAATTAGGTAAGAGAAGGATAAGCAATATTCTATCTGGAATTTTAAATTCCTGCATCACTAAGGGTGGTTAGACCCTAAGAGCACAGCGCCTCCCTGGGCTGTTCAGCAGGTCATCTGAGGGAAGCACATTGGGGGCTGCTCGGAGAGAGAGCCCCACAGTGTCCTGGTGCACACACACGGCTGCTCTGAGTATGATGCAAAGCTAAATTCCCTTTAACCATTAAGAATTAAAACAATATTTATCACCATACAGTTTGATATTACTTCCAATAAGTACAATATTTATTAAACATATCTTCAGTTGTTTTGTTACATAGTGTGCAACAAATTACAATATTCTGCAGCCACAAATTATAGGCAGAGTATGAAGAAACTATTAATCAGATAGTGTAATTCTTTCCGTTTATAACTACAAGGAAGAACTAGCGGATCAGATCTTACATAGAACATCTCACTAAACTTTATGCATGGAAAGTGACAGACACTGGTAGTGCTGTTTGATACAAAATGGCTGAACTTCATCTTCAGAAGACTAAATAAACCCGACATCTAAACATGCCAATATAAACAAAACAAAATATAGTCTAACCAACCACAGGGAAACGGTCTGATATCAGGAAAGCAACGAGGATTACACACATTATTTTATAAACCAGCACACAAAGGTTTAAAACAGTTCTGAAAATGAAGTTAGCTGTCTTGAGTCAGGGGAATAAAAAAAAAGTCAGTATTGACCATTTACAATCTCTGACCTTTGTGGAGACGGTAAGAATCTGTTGTAGTGCAGCTACATACAGTACAATTCAGGCAATTTTGTTTTTTCACTTGGGTTCAGATTGCAAATTCATTGCTGTGAGAAAAGGATGGAGGCAAATTTTAGCAGCAACCTCCACCTGACTGCTTGACTGGAGTGCTCTGAATTTTAACATTGGACTTCTCTGCACCACCGGCTGTTGCTCCAGGGCCCATCCGCTTTTTAATCTCAGCTGCCATAGTCATGAAAGACTGTTCTACATTCGTTGCATTTTTAGCGCTGGTTTCCAAAAATGGAATTCCAAGGGAATCAGCAAATTCCTAAGAAAAATATAAGGCACAATTATTATTCCTCACTTGGTGAGATTTATTTAACAACCACCCAAAACACCCACCATGGGCATTGAGTCAGTTGTTAACTCATAGACCCTCTAGGACAGAGCAGAAATGCCCTCATGGGTTTCAGAGATTAAAGCTTGACAGAAGCAGAGGGTCCGTCTTCCTCCTGCAACCCAGTATTTACTGTTAGTGCACTTATTTTACAAGAACAGTTGGTTGTGTGATTAGGTCCAAATGGGACTCAAATTCCACTTGGGCTTACCTTTGCTGTTGTGTAGTCTACTACTTTCTTTGTAGTCAGATCACATTTATTCCCTACCAACAACTTGTTGACGTTTTCACTGGCATAACGATCAATTTCCTGCAGCCACTGTTTAACATTATTGAAGGACTCCTGGGAGGGGGGGGGGGAATTCATTTTAAGTAGGATAATAACAGTTCTAGACAACTCTAAGTGAGAAACTGGAATGTGAAGATTGAAAATATACTTTTATTTTTTAGATATATTTTTTTCTGCTTGGTAACACCCACTCAGTATTTCCAGTGGCATGGAATCTAAACAATTGTGCTTCTAGATATCTCCTATCATAGCTAACATGCGCTACAAGGGACAAAATGTACTTTTCAACGTTTGTTTTTTATTCCTTTCTTTGAAAAGAAGACCCTGAAATGTGCTAACTTTTTGGTCAAAAGCATCAACACATCTTTCTCAATATAGCCTCCTCCCCAAGCCCCTCTCCTAACAGTTAATCTTCAGATAAACACTCCCCTTCTAAACCCCTCCTATAGCTCTTAGTCAAAATTTTTTATTCCTAAACCAAATTTTCCAAATGCCAACCTTTACTCTCTTTTGGCAATTCTGCCAAGTTTAACTGCCAAATCAAGAACACAATATAAACCAACACACACTTTCCTATAATTTTCTTGTCTGAATAGTCAGTTATTTACTGGTTAATAATACAACCACACAATCAACAGGTATTTGCTTTCACTCAGAGATCGGGTAGATAAGGGGTAAGATCACTAAACCAATTCTATACCAGAAATATGTTAAAAAATGAATCTTAACTAGCTGAAGGTTAGCACTGGTTCCTTAAACACAAATGTAAACTTGAATTACTTGAAAGTATAAGATTTTAGTTGCCAATTGGATTGTCATAATAATCTGTTGAAACCTTGCCTCTCAGAAATCAAGTTAGTTATCTTATAGCAAAAAACTCAAGTCATTTGCTATTGGACATTAAAGTGATTAAAAATTGTAAATTAGCTAGCAATCTTTTAGCTGCAAAAAAGGAATTTTGACAATTTTAAATAAATTAGCTTTTAATAAACCTTCAAAAAAATGTTATTTGGTTAGCCAAACACTTATCTTTGTTTCCCACACAAATAGAAATGAATCACATATTGCTTTAAAACAAATGTTTTTATGTGATTCATTTCTACTTTGTGGGAAACAAAGATATCTCCCAAGTCTTCTCCCACAAATATGACTTAGGACACTGCTTGCAGCAAGTGGGAACTGATTGTCAAGTTACCTCCCTGAAGGCAGTCAGTTGCCAGACTACTGTCTGGTCCCACCAGGGGTAGGCCTGCTCCCTGCTGTTAAGGACAATGGGCTACTTCTCCCTAAAGGCTTGCAGTCAAGATTTGGTTCCTGTAGGTGGAGTTCACACCCTACTGATAAATGGTCTCTATAGCTGAGCCAGGGAACAGGTCAAACATGCTCAGTGCCACCCAAAGTTAGGCTGCCATCCTGAATCTAGGATCCGCCTTTCTTGCCACATGTATACCAACAATCCCTTAAATCACCCCCCCTCCCATTACTGTATTACCTATATAGCACAGCCCTTTCCTGTGATGGATGACTTCACCTGTAATTAGGGGGTCTTGCATGTCCTCAGAGAATATAAAAGCCTTGGATAGCAGTAAGTATCTTTCTTTCCACGTGGACCACCAAGTAAGGCTGAGGTGAGCATGCTACCATGAAATGTGTCTGACTCCATTATTTCAATCATGCTTTTTATGACTTTACTATAATCTTTACTTCTTATCGCTGTGCAATTGCGCCTACTGGACCCACGATGATGTGTTCGGGGCTGGTTAACCCTGACATACTTGGGCCTAGAAAACTGTTTCTAAAAGAACATGACATCAAATATTAACTTTGTTTTCTTGGAACTTACCTGATCTGTCACATCATAGACAACTATGATGCCATGAGCTCCTCTGTAATAACTAGAGGTGATTGTTCGAAATCTTTCCTGGCCGGCTGTGTCCCACTATGATAAGATAATCGAGAAATCCAAACAATGTCATTAAAAATGGGAGAAATGAGCAAGTAGAGAGAGATACTCAGGATCTGACATGGAAGCATTTTTAATATTGAGTCAATTCCAACTCATGGCGGCCCTGTAAGGACAGAGTAGAAGGGCCTCTTGTTTGTTTCCAAGACTACAACTTTATGGGAGTGGAAAGTTTCATCTTCCTCCTGCAGAGCAGCTGGTGGTTTTAAACTGCTCTCTTAGCAGCCCAACACGTAACCTCTACGCAAGTGATACCAAAATTGCTCTAATCATAACAGACTACAAGCTAAGATCAGGAACCATGTCAGATATTCAGATTGCCCACAACCCTTAGCACAATGCAAGCAAGGCATTTAATAGAACTAGGAAGACTACTGGCTTTAAAAACATACACTCACACGTAAGAGAAAATCACTGTCTAACATCACAGTCCCAAAAGATCTAATTCAGGTGATTCCCAGTCAGGATAGCTCTCTAACCTTTAAGCAGGTATAATACTAATTAATGCTGGGGAAAACGATGCAAGGAAGATTACAAATACTTTCTTCCCACCCATTTTTACCATAATTTACCACACACTTCAACCACTCAAGTAAAACACCCAGAACAAATCCATCACTAGTAAAGCTCTAATTTATACAACAAATTGTTAAAAATACCAAGAGGCAAACTGAATTTTTTGGATTTTAAAAGCATTAGTTTAACAAAAGCAATGAGAAATTTGTGTAAATTGCTCCTAGGCAATGATCCATCTCTTTAAAATGTTAATCGTATAATTAGAATAGCTACTTAAAACCCTTATCATAATACTAAAAGATACAGGTGAAAGACAACATTGTGATTAACAGTAATGGGGAAAAAAATTGGACTAATATACGAGTGACACTGATCCTTAAGTCTTTGCTTAAGACTTCATTGGTTCTGTCATTTTATTCTTTTCCTCCCCAGTAACAACAAAAAGAAATGAGGGGGAAATGAATGAAGCAGATACCCATTCATTTGGGCACATTACATCAACATATTTCTGTTTTAACATTTTAAAGAGGGAAGACACAAAAAGCACTGTTCATACAAAGTTACCAAGTTGATTCTCACAACTACTTGGTAAGTAAATCCAGTCTCTTCACCTCCATTT